TACATTGGTAACAAGGATGTGAATATAATAAATTGTGTTTTGCAGGTATGGACATAGAAACTAAAAACTATTGTTAGTCTTCATTATCACTATTCTCATTAGCTACAAAAGGTTTTGCAACCCGCAGGACCTGTATGTTTCCAAATAGAATGAGCTCACTGTAAGTTTGGTGACTGGATTGTCATGGAACATTCTATTCTACGAAACCAAGCCAATGTTTGTGTGCTCAAGGATAAATAATGGTTTGTTTGCAGAATGGATGAGTCAATAGAAAGAACAGGCTTAGGAAAGAGAATGTGCTGAAGGCCCTCTTGGTTTTGAATTTACAGAAGCAGGGAACTCAGAATTCAGGTGCTTGGAAGGTATAATTTTGACTTCAAACTCAGGTGATTTAAAATTATTTCATTGTGATACCCAAATGTAAAGTGTATCATCTTAAGCATTTCTTGGTGTGCACCTAAGTAGTATTAAGTATATTCACTTTGTTGTACAATTAATCTCCAGAAACTTGTTTTTCTTGAAACTGAAACTGTGTATCATTAAACACCAACTCCCAATATCTTTTTTCCTCCTGCCTCTGGAAACCACTATTCTAATTTCTGTTTGTATGAATTTGGCTACTGTAGATACCACACATAAGTGGAATCATACTATATTTGTTTTTGTGACTGGATTATTTCATATAGCACAATGTACTCTAGTTCATCTATATTGAACTCTACAGTCTGTGTCTGAATTTTCTTTTCTTTTAAGTCTGAATAAGATTCCACTCCATGAGGCCGGGTGCAGTGGCTCACGCCTGTAATCCCAGCACTTTGGGAGGCCGAGGCAGGAGGATCACGAGGTCAGGAGATTGAGACCATCCTGGCTAACACGGTGAAACCCCGTCTCTACTAAAAATACAAAAAATTAGCCGGGCATGGTGGCAGGCGCCTGTGGTCCCAGCTACATGGGAGGCTGAGGCAGGAGAATGGCGTGAACCCGGGAGGTGGAGCTTGCAGTGAGCCGAGATTGCGCCACTGCACTCCAGCCTGGGTGAGAGCGAGACTCCGTCTCAAAACAACAACAACAACAACAAAAAAGATTCCACTCCATGAATACCTAGATTTGCTTCATCCATTCATCTGGGGATAAACACTGGGTTGGTTCCCCCTCCTGACTAATGTGAATAGCATCCTTAAAGACATGCGTATACAAGATCTCTACAAGATCCTGATTTCAGTTCTCCTGGCTATATCATGAGAGGAGAAATTCCTTGATCCTATGATATTTTCTATTTTAATTTGAGAGGCCATGATCTTCCATGGTGGTTGCACTATTTTACATTCCCAGCAAGAGTGCACAAGAATTGCTACCTCTGTTCATCCTTGTTACAATGTTATTTTAAAAATTCTTAGTTTGCTTGTTTGTCTGTTTTATAATAGTTATCCTATTGGGTATGAAAATCTATGTTATTTTGACCTGAGATTTGAAAACGTCAAAAAAAAAGATCAGTGGGGTAACAAAATCTGAAGGTGTCTCACCTCTCCCACCCATTCTGCTGTCATGACCCACAGAGGAATGTGCAAGTTCCCCTCCATTTGCCCCATCTCGTTCTCCAGCCACAAACCCCTCCCTGTTCTACCATGTGCACCTGTCTGTTTCAGGTTCACCTGGCTATCTGAAGTCCCTCACAAGCCACTTGGTTTATGCCGTGTCAACTTCTCTCATGCTTTTCCTTGGACTTCTTCCACATTTTGTTTTGTTCTGTGAATCAAATGCTATATGTCCCTGAGCAGGACTTAGATACACTACTCTGTATTCCAAGCCTCACATCTCGATGCCTTCACCCAGAACATTCCATGCCTCCCCTGTGTTTCCCTGGAGCACTCTGCTCATGGCTGAGGAGAGGTAGAGGAATAATCCCCACGGGCTGCTCTACTGCTATGACCCTGGAAACTCAGAAGCTGTGATGCTCCTAGTTGGAAGAGAAACTAAAGGGGAGTTCCTGTTAGTGGATGTAGAGCTTGGTGAATTGATATTAAATTTTCCTGAAATTGTTTAAGTCTTGGCTTGCACTAGAAGATTAGGGGTTGGCTGGTTGGTGCAGCACCATCCTCTTACCGCTGTTCTCTCTAGTGATGTCGAAAACCAATGAGTTTTTTTCACAGTCACCACCATGCTACTCACCTTTCACCCTCAACTGTCTACAGAAAACCGGCCCCATGAGCATTCATTTACACTAACCATGACCATCACCCATTTAGTAGTTTGTTGATTCATAAATTTATCATTCATTTGTTAAAAGATGCCTTGCTGATCTTCTCCATGCCAGCCACTGTGCTAAGCCAGGATGAACAAAACCGGATACTGACCCTCTGATTATGGAGCTAACAGTCAAGAAAAATGTGCATCAATGAAATGATTACACATTTGTAATACAACAGCCTTGAGATTGCTGCAAATGAGACGTGCATGGTTCTAGCAGAGTCTATAAACGGGAGCACTGACCAAGTCATCAAGGTCAGGCAACAATGGCCATGGATGGAAAGAATAAACTAAAATCTTGAGTCAATTATATAAAAAGGAGGGAGCCATAAAAAGCATCAATGATGAAAACAAAAAAAAACCCTGCATAGGTGTTAACTGTGGTAGGACTAATAAAAGTACATGCAAGGCCGGGCGTGGTGGCTCACGCCTGTAATCCCAGCAATTTGGGAGGCCGAGGTGGGTGGATCACAAGGTCAGGAGATCGAAACCATCCTGGCTAACATGGTGAAACTCCATCTCTACTAAACACACACACACACACACACACACACACACACACATTAGCCAGGCGAGGTGGCGGGCGCCTGTAGTCCCAGCTACTTGGGAGTCTGAGGCAGGAGAATGGTGTGAACCTGGGAGGCGGAGTTTGCAGTGAGCCAAGATCATGCCACTGCACTCCAGCCTGGGCAACAGAGCGAGACTCCGCCTCAAAATAAATAAATAAATAAGTAGATAAATAAATAAATAAAAGTACATGCAAACAATCCTCTCTCAGAGATACACATCCTTTCCAATGGACTGTACAGATAAGAAAGTGAATGCCAAGCCTGAGCGAGGATAAGCTCTCATCCACAAATAGGGTGGATGCCTCACAGACCCGTCTGCTGCAAAAGAGGCCTCAGTCCTGAAGCCCATATTCATGGGTCTGTAGACTCTGAGACCATGAGCTGGGTTTCTTTTTCCATTTATATCCGAGAGAAATGGTGTATCTAGGTGTCCGTGTAGTTCTGCAAGTAGGTGATTTTGTGGATTTTGGCTGTGCTCTAAACTAGGAACGACTGGCAAACCATGACATATATGACAAATGGGACAAGATAATGGCAGTTTACATTGATTGAGAACTACTATGTACCAGAACTTGGTATATTTTAAACACACACACACATATCCATGAACACACCCATTTGATCATCTATCAACCCAGTGATGTAGGCACCATTAGTAGCCTACTTTGACAAATAAGAAAACTGGGGTTACATAAACTCAATACTTTTCCTAAGGTCCAGGAGCCCATAAATGAGGATCTGAACCCTCATAGCCACGAGCCTCACCACCAACCCTCCCCCTCCTTTGTGTTAGCAGGGCTGATTCAGGGATTCCCTCATCATCCTGTGTGATGGAAGTGAGATCCACCACTGCCCTCAGCTTGGACTCAACCAGACCTGACCATGTGTCTTTCATGACACAACCCGTAAGGTCCCCTCCCTTCTTAAAGGTTTTCCTGGCTGGTTCTCAGCCCTGCTGTCTGTGAGAAACACCAGAGCAGTTTAAACAGTACAGAAATGAGGGATTTACCCCTATGCTACTGAATCAAAATCACCAGAGAGAGAAGCCTGTGGGGTCAGTATATCTTAAAAGCTCCAAGTGATTTGATTGCATAGCTGAGAATGGAAAGTTATGGCCTGGGCTGTGACTCCTCTCACATGTAAGTTTATTTAAGAGAGAAATTTCTGGTGGTTACCTACTGACACCACATGAAGGCATCACAATGGGAGGGAAGGGGAGTGTGTATTGCTTTATCTGGGAGCTTCCTTCACTTTCCATTAAAAATGGGATTGGCCCAGGCAGCACAGCTAGGTTTGAAATGGAAAACTTGAGCCTAGGGGTTAGGGGGAAGTGACCACCCACCCTGTTCATCTGTCTCTTCCCTTCCATTATCTTCCCAGCCTAGAGCCCCAGAGCAAAGAACTCTCAATACCTCTCTGATGCATGATTAGCTCTGGACACTCCAAAAGCTCTTGAGAAAAAGAGTTGGGTTACTTAATCATCAGATCAGCCCTAAGATAAGATGTGGGTGACTACACATCACAGAAAGCTTGCTTTTTATAGATAGAAAATGTGAATCTTGGCCACATATATAACTGCACCTATAAACAAGACTCAGATTTGGGAGGGAGGCAGGCTACAGAACAGGTGCAGCAGATGTTTTTCCTCAGGAAATCTTCTACAGGTGGGATGTATTCAACTATGTTTTAGATACCTATGCAGTGAACATGGTGGTGATGGAATGGGCTGAGGGGAAGGACTAGACTTGCCCAAGGTGCAACTGAAACAAGCCTGGCTGGTTGTCAGACATGCAGGGGGATCAAAGCAGGGTCTCCTTATGTCCCTGCTCTCCCATAACCAGAACACAGCCTTCCAGCTTCCTGTGCCTTCCAAAGTCAGAACTCACCTGTGCCCTTGCACTGCTACAAAGATAAAAAGAACTAATCAGCAAAAGCTCATAAGGAAATTGAGAATCCCAGGAATATTTCCAGATGTGCCTGAACACTCACCTGGAGCACAGAGCAGAGTTCCCACAGGGCTACTGTCTTGTGCTCTGCCTCACTTGGATGCAGAGATTCCTAAGGAGGTCACATTGATGGATGGCAGCAGCCCTGGCTTGGAAGGGCAGGCTGGGAGCCAGGCCTCGTGACTTACCAGGTGCCCCAGTGGGCAGGACCAGCCAGGCTCCCTGGGTACAAATAGCCCTGGGCTCCACGACTACACAGGCTCCTGGAGTCGAATCCAAATCACTCATCGTTTGTGAAAGCTGAGCTCACAGCAGAATAAGCCACCATGAGGCTGTTGGTGTGTCTCCTGCTGGTCTCGCTGGCCCTTTCCTGCTACCAGGGTGAGTACATCAGTCATGAGTCCAGCACCAGCCCCTGGGACGTACCCTCCTCTGAGCATGAGAGCACCTGCACAAAACCAAACAAAATTCCAGACCCTTTTCTGTGCTTGTTGAATAAGATTCATAAAGCTTAAAGCGATTTCTTCTTCTTCTTTTTTGTTTTTTTGAGACCGAGTTTCGCTCTTGTTGCCCAGGCTGGAGTGCAGTGGCACGATCTGGGCTCACTGCAACCTCCGCCTCCTGGGTTCAAGTGATTCTTCTGCCTCAGCCTTCCTGAGTAACTGGGATTACAGGCATGCGCCACCATGCCTGGCTGATTTTGTATTTTTAGTAGAGACGGGGTTTCTCCATGTTGGTCAGGCAGGTCTCGAACTCCCGACCTCAGATGATCTGCCCGCCTTGGCCTCCTAAAGTGCTGGGATTACAGGCGTGAGCCACTGAGTCCGGCTGCTTAGAGCTATTTCTTGTAATCCCCAGTATCTAGGGAGTTTTATAGAAAAATCAATGCAGGCAAATGTTAGGAATTCTTCTGCCTGAGCTTCACTTCTGAATGGGATCTGTGTCAGATGATGTAATGTGAGGTCTGGGGTGAATCTGGGCTTCGACACTTCCCACCCCTTGATCTTGGGCACAATGCTCACCCTCTCTGAGCCGCCTCCTATCACTGGTGATTAAAGCTTCTTCCAGGAGTGGCTATGAGAATGGAGTAAAGTTATGGTTGTCAAGAGTCAAGTTGTGGGCCAGGCATGGTGTCTCATTTGTGTAATCTTAGCACTTTGGGAGGTCATGGTGGGCAGATCACTTGAGCTCAGGAATTTGACACCAGCCTGGGCAACATGGCGAACGCCATCTATAAAAAAAGAAACAAGTCCACAAAAATTAGCTGGGCATGGTGGCATGCACCTGTGGTCTCAGTTACTTTGGGGGCTGAGGGAGGATCGCTTGAGCCCAGGACATTGAGGCTGCAGTGAGCCGAGACTGTGCCACTAGATTCCAGTCTGGGTGACCCTGTCTCAAAAAAAGAAAAAGAAGTCTAGCTGAGGATATGAAGCTCTTACCTTTGTTGTGTGACCTTGGGAAATTCACACCTGGAATTTCTGGTATTGTCATCAGCACAGTAATGGTATAGAAACATAGAACCCAGGGGATCCTGTCTGGTGTAGCATCAGGGAGCCATGAGAGAAAAACTGACTTTCCTAACATCAACAATATATTTATTTTTGTGCTGCAGCCAATGCTCTTGTCTGCCCAGCTCTTGCTTCTGAGATCACAGGCTTCCTCTTCTTAAGTGACGATCTGTTAAAGTTACAAGTTGCCAAATTTATTCCACCTCCGGAAGCTCTTGCAGCCAAGTTGCAAGTGAAGCACTGCACGGATCAGATACCTTTGAGTGATCGACTTCGCATTGAAAAAGCCTTGGTAATTTCTTTCTCCTTTATGCAGAGGCAGAATTAAACTGCTGCACACAGCCTCCTGCATGTTTCTCCTCAGGTGGCCTGCCTAGATACTGTGTCCCCAGAGTGTGCTGAGGACATGGGGAGTGAGCTAGGGCCCAGGCAGGGATGGTGAAGGGCCAAGCACGGCCGCCTCCCTGCTGGGAGCTTTCCTGGGCCAACCTACCCTGACGCAGTGGACACAGTCACTGTGGAATGTCCCGGGGAGTGTGGGAGACTTGAACGGGGAGAGAAGGCTTGGGGGGACCTAGAGCTGGGCCTCCCAGACAAGGTGCTGGTGAACTGGGCTCCTCTGCAGCTTCTGCAGAGCCAGGAGCCCCCCGCAGCTCCGCAGGGCCCACTATCCACTCCTCATCCATGACACTGTCCTGACCACAGCCAGTGGGCCAAGACGTTTTCACTGCTCTACCTCCTGCAATGCCATGGAAGGGGGACGTTCTCACTAAGTCTTTCTCAAGAAATCAGAGATTTCAGGGCCCTCTCAGCCTGGCTGCTTCTGGATTGCTGTCCTGAGGTTTGGCTGCAAATACCCATAGATGCGGCAGGGTCAGGCCTGATAAGACCCTTGGCTGCCAGGCAGAATTCTCCCATGGGAAGGCTGGAGTCTCCTGGAAGGCGTGTTTCCCAGAGGCCCTCCCTGCCCTGCCTGGCTTCAGAGCCCTGGTTCCCCCATTACAGGGATCAGGAGACGCCACAATCCTGGGACAGCCCAGACAACAACCTCTGGCTGCACTGTCAACCCCTCCCCTCCCCCTCCATGAAAACCCTGGACCTAACTCCTAGGTCTTCCCAGGTCTATTGGTCTCGTGGGGAAAGGCTGCTTTCTCACCAGAATGGGTATTGTAAGGCCACCAGGTCTAGGCCTCAGTTTCCCAAACTGAGTTCTTGCCTCTGCCTTTCCAATTGCCATTAGGAGCAAAATCCCACTGTCCTCTTTGATGTTAGCCTATCATCACCAGCAGCAGCATGACTGACCTCACCTTTCTTCCTTTTTTGTTTTCGATTTCAGCTGAAAATAGCGGTAAAATGTGGTGTGTGACATGTAAAAACGCTCAACCTGGTTTCCAGTCTTTCAACGATACCCTGATCTTCACTTAAAATTGTAAAGGTTTCAACATGTTGCTTTAATAAATCGCTTGCCCTGCACATCTCCACTGGTCTTGTTATGATCCTGCAGTCTCGGGCCTTGAGTCGAGGGTGGTTTCCATAGGGGAGTGGCCTTTTGCTGTGGCTGATAATTAACTCTAGAGTAACCAGCATTCTGGGGCCTGAATGCAAGCATCCCAGAAGGAAATATTTGCAGAAATCATCCTGCATTCCTTACAGATTTCCCATCCTGCGTTCGTGAATGAAAACCATGGCAATAGAAAAACAGGAATTACAACGGTCCTGCTGGTCTTGGACTGAGGGATCTCCCAGCCTACCTTGGTGTCCAGGCACATGGTTTCCACTAGCAGCAGCCCTAGCCCTAGTTTGATGTCCCCTCAGACGCACAGCCAGCCTGCTTGGTGCTCTCTCTGCACTATGCTTTCTCTCCTGTCATGTCCAGGTATACTTTATTTTCCGTTTATCACAGTTTGGGGGCATCTCCAGGTTTCAACCTGGAGTTCACATTGTTTTACTCTCCACACTCAAGAGCACTCCTCACTCTCTGCATCACTCACCAGCACCTGAGGCAAATGCTTCCTTCCTCAAGCTCTCCCAAGAGCTACAGAGACCAGCACCCCTGCCAACTGGACAGCTCCCAGGGCGCACTCCACAGTCATTTCAGGAGCAGGATGTAAAACTGAGCACAGGGTCTGCCCCCAGCCTGCTCTCCCTTCCATGAGCCCATCCAGGCTAATGCACCCAGCCAGCAAGTCCCCTGACCAGGACACAGGGAGACGCCACAGGTTCCTGGCTTGGTGTCCTGTGGCTGCTGCAAGAAACCTCCGAAAACTTGGTGACTTAAAACAACTGATTCTCTTGTACCTCTGGAGGTCAGAAGCCCAATACTGATATCACTGTGGGGAGGTCAGGGGGCAGCAGGGCTCTGTTCCTTCTAGGGGCTTTCAGGATGAGTTCACTAAGGGCTGCTTCTGGCTTCTGGGCTGCTGACCATCCTGGTCCTGTGGCCACATCACTCCAACCTCTGCCTCCATGATACATTCCCATCTCCTTTCCTTTCCATGTGAAATCCGCCTCTGACTTTTAATTACAAAATACAGGGGTTGGGGTTAGGAAGCACCAGATTATGCAGAATAATGTGCCCATCTCAAGATCCTTAACTGAATCACGTCTACACCATGGTTTTTCTTCTTGCAATGGGCCATTCACAGATTCTAGGGATTAGAATGTGGATATCTTTTGGGAGATGGAGGCATAAATCAGCCAACTACAGCTTCCCTCCCTCCTGACTGCTCACCGCACACTAAGTTCTGTTCACTCCATGGCCACAGCATCACCTCCACGAGTCCCTTCTTTCCCATCACACAGCCACCTAACAGTCTTGTCTGAGTCCTTCCAAACTCAACTCATATTAAGGTCTCCTCAACTGTTTCCCAGCCTCTGTGAGCCCTTCCTGTGAGAAATCCTCCTTATTCATGCCAATGTGAGCCTCCCAAAACTGAAACATGGTCCTATCCTCTTTCAACAACCCTAAACAACCAGAGCGCACATATTCTCAAGGGTTTCAAGTAAGGGAAGTCATTTTTTACCCTAAACTCATGTTTATATGATAATAGCTATTGTTATACAACTGAGAAAAGAGTAGATAAGAGTAGCTATTATTAAACATTGCTTTTAAAAGAAATTTGTATTTTAATACTGCCAGAAAATATTTACACTTAAAAAAATAGAACCTAAGTGTGTGAAACTCAAGACCAGTTTAGCCTACACACTGTGCATGGACAGGCACAAGGATTCACAGACAGACACAAGGATTCACAGAGCTCAGGCTACATTCTGAGAACCCCAGAGAGGAACCACTGCTGGAGGAACACATCCATAGCCTTGTGTTCCACATGAGGACTTCCAAGACCCTGCTCCTGGGAGCCCTGTCTCCTCATCTTCTGTTTTCCTGGGTGCTCTGTCCTCAGCCATAGTTGTTTATGTCTCATTTCTTTTTTTTTTTTTTTTTTTTTTGAGACGGAGTCTCGCTCTGTCACCCAGGCTGGAGTGCAGTGGCCGGATCTCAGCTCACTGCAAGCTCCGCCTCCCGGGTTCACGCCATTCTCCTGCCTCAGCCTCCGGAGTAGCTGGGACTACAGGCGCCCACAACCGCGCCCGGCTAATTTTTTGTATTTTTAGTAGAGACGGGGTTTCAACGTGGTCTCGATCTCCTGACCTTGTGATCCGCCCGCCTCGGCCTCCCAAAGTGCTGGGATTACAGGCGTGAGCCACCGCGCCCGGCCTATGTCTCATTTCTTATGCATCACATGAGTCACATCCTTGCACCAAGACATATGGGTTTTCCTTTGCCTTTATAGACTTACCTGCCTCAGACGTTTGACCACCCCATCCATAGAATGCACTTCACATGTCTCCTTCTCTGTGAGGCCCCCTTGGATGCTCACACCTTACATTACATCTTTATACACACATGCACCCACATGCATAGACATCCTTTTTTATCATCCATTTATTTTCCTGTGAAATAGAATGCATGTCATAGCATTGTTGTGAGAATACATTATATAAATTAATACTATAAAGCACTCAACATACCTTAGAAATTATTACTGTATTGCTTACAATTAATAAAAATTTCTATTTATTGAACACCCCAGCATGCATCTTGCTGGAACATTTTTCATTTGTTTTTTAGTCCTCACTAGTACCCAGGAAGGTCCGAGATTGTTTCCACTAATGAATATGAGAATGAGAAATGCCTACCCAGGGCCCCTTAATCCTGGCTCTATTTTGGAATCCACTGGGAAGCTGTCAAAAGCAGGTGATGCCCGGGCTCTGTCTGGAACACATGAATCTGTGTATAAGTAGAGTCCTCATTCTCTCACTTCTCTCTTCTATAGGGGCAGTCATCCAGTGACCTGGGGAGGCAGTAGCTGGTGCAGGAGTCCCCCATGATACTCGCAGGACTCCTGACATCACCAGGGCTGTTGCTTAGGGCCGCTACCTTAGCTACTTCCATAGCCTTTGAAGCCTGGGGGTCACAAGGTGCTCACGCTTCTCATCATTCGAAGCTAATCACATTCATGTCACATATGGTAACATTTTCCTTTCAGAGATTCTGTTAAAAGAGTGTGAAGTGGGATCCAGCAAGACCACTCGGGCTGAGACAGGGAGAAGAGGGTATCAAAGTCATTGTTAAGGAGTACAGAGTTTCTGTTTGGAATGAGAATTTCCTAGAAATGTATAGTGTGACAATATCAAGAATACACTGAAGGCCACATAATTGTACACTTAAAAATGATTGAAATGACAAGTTTCATGAAACGACAACACAATAAAAGAATGCAAGGACCGTTGCTCTCTGAGGGGGAGGAGGAACGTAACTGCAGGGGAGCTGGGCTTGTATTTTATCCCTAGAAATGCCTTCCTAGACCTGCCAGCATCTCATAGTCAGCTTTCTCGGTGTCTATGTGCTCATTGATTGACATCCTGGATTTCTTCTTTGCTAATGATAGTGCTAATTTTGAAGAACATCTAGTTCAAAAACCTGAGAATGAGATTTACCAAGGATGTAGGATTGACTTATGCAGGGTCTCTTGACTTTATTTCTTCAGGTGTCTCTCAAGACCACTGAGCTAAGTAGAGTCTCATAATTTGCCCTCTGGATAAATATTATCAATCACTGCCTAGGCACTTTTTCTCCAGTGTCTTCTCCCTATGATCCATCCTACACTTTATGACAAGCTTAATATTCTGAATATGAAGTTTTGATTTAGTCATTGCTTATTTATTTATTTATATTTATTTATTTATTATACTTTAAGTTCTAGGGTACGTGTGCACAACATGCAGGTTTGTTACATATGTATACATGTGCCATGTTGGTGTGCTGCACCCATTAACTTGTCATTTACATTAGGTGTATCTCCTAATGCTATCTCTACCCCCTCCCCTCACCCCACGGCAGGCTCCGGTGTGTGATGTTCCCTATCCTGTGTCCAAGTGTTCTCATTGTTCAATTCCCACCTATGAGTGAGAATATGCGGTGTTTGGTTTTCTGTCCTTGTCACAGTTTGCTCGGAATGATGGTTTCCAGCTTCATCCATGTCCCTACAAAGGGCATGAAGTCATGCTTTTATATGGCTGCATAGTCTTCCATGGTGTATATGTGCCACATTTTCTTAATCCAGTCTATCGGTTATGGACATTTGGGTTGGTTCCAAGTCTTTGCTATTGTGAATAGTGCCGCAATAAACATATATGTGCATGTGTCTTTATAGCAGCATGATGTATGATTTATAATCCTTTGGGTATATACCCAGTAATAGGATGGCTGGTCAAATGGTATTTCTAGTTCTAGATCCTTGAGGAATCGCCACACTGCCTTCCATGATGGTTGAAGTAGTTTACAGTCCCACCAACAGTGTAAAAGTGTTCCTATTTCTCCACATCCTCTCCAGCATCTGTTGTTTCCTGACTTTAATGATTGCCATTCTAACTGGTGTGAGATGGTATCTCATTGTAGTTTCTATTTGCATTTCTCTGATGGCCATAAATGGTAAGCATTTTTAAATGTGTCTGTTGGCTGCATAAATGTCTTCTTTTGAGAAGTGTCTGTTCATATGCTTTGCCCACATTTTATGGGGTTGTTTGATTTTTTTTTCTTGTAAATTTGTTTGAGTTCTTTGTAGATTCTGGATATTAGCCCTTTATCAGATGGGTAGATTGCAAAAATCTTCTCCCATTCTGTAGGTTGCCTGTTCACTCTGATGATAGTTTCTTTTGCTGTGCAGAAGCTCTTTAGTTTAATTAGATTCCAGTTCTCAATTTTGGCTTTTGTTGCCATTGCTTTTGGTGTCTTAGTCATGAAATCCTTGCCCATGCCTATGTCCTGAGCGGTATTGCCTAGGTTTTCTTCTAGGGTTTTTATGGTTTTAGGTCTGACATTTAAGTCTTTAATCTATCTTGAATTAATTTTTGTGTAAGGTGTAAGGAGGGATCCAGTTTCAGCTTTCTACATGTGGCTAGCCAGTTTCCCC